ATCATATTCTGATACGATTTGCAAGGATCATCATGATGATAAGCCTGGCCTTGTCTCTTCGCGTCCTCGGATCCAAACCCGGGGCTTGACTTGTTCACGCCGGGGCCAGCAGAGCGGAAAGAGACCTATATTTGTATGTAGTCTTCCGGGGGAAGATGGATCGTCGTCCGTCTTTGTAATTGCCTCGTAGATAGATTGAAATGGAGATACCTCGTGGACGGCTCTGATCTTCTTCCTCTACCACCACCATGTCCAGGCGTCTCGATATCTCGTCGCTCTTGTGCGACGAGCCCCCAAAGAAAGACCCGGACCGTCCCCGACGCCCAGAGGGCCAGGTCGTCGCAGAGACCGTTGTGCTCGCTCCCCATCTCGTCCGCAACACAAATCCGAGATATGAGCAGCCAAAGCAGCCGTTGCAGACCCAGCAGGCCCCCCCGCAGAGTGAGCATGCCCTCGATACTCTGGCCCGGGCAGCGGCGCTTGCAGAGAAGCACCGGGATCATCGCCCGGAGCCCCCCTTTGCCCGCACCCCGACACGCGACCCCCAGATCCTCCTCAGTCCCGTCGAAGACCATCATCGCCTGCGCACCATGTCCCAGTTTGCCCCGATGGCCCCGCCGTCTCGGCACGTCCTCGAGCAGCAGCAGCAACAGCAACACCAGCACCATGTCCGTCTCCTCCAGCAACAGGAGATGGCCCGCCAGCGCGAGCATCACGAGCAGCAGATGATCCACCAGGAACGTCTCCAGGCACAGTGGGAGCGCGAGAGAGGACGCGTCGCGGACGTGATGGGTCTGCCAATGGATCTGCGTCCCGGTCGCAAGTCCGATCCGGGCCAGATGCGTCCCCTGACTAGCCCCGCACCCTCCCATCTCCAGTCCCATATCGCACACCAGATGGAGCCGCCGAGCAAGAAACGCCGCTACTCCGACTCCCCAGGGCCCCTTCCCCCGGTGTCCAACGGCTTCGAGTGGGAGCGGACCAGCTCCCTCAATCGCGGCGGTGACCGTAGCATCCTCAATCCCGAACCCGATTTCGGGCGTACAGAACTTCCCTCGCGCAGGCCCTCGTCCAGCTCGAGCCACGACGGTACTCCGTTCGGTTTCCCCCACCGCCAGCGAGTGACCGAATCGGCTTTGGAGAGACACGGGGTTGGCGGCCAGCCAGACAGCAGGCTTCAGAGTCCCCCTTTCCCCCCTGGGAGACGGTCCCCTCCTGGCAGTCTGGCCGGGCGAGCCAAGGCGCGGAAGTCCGACCCCGATGAGCCTGACGTGATCCCGTATGCGGCGGAGCGGAGAGACTACACCACCGTCATTCATCTGCCCGAGCGTGAAAGGGAGGAGTACGTCGTGGAGGGCAGAAAACACAGGAAATCTCATTCCCAAGGCCAACACCACACGCTCTCTCGTCCCGTTGAATACAGCCAGATAGCCGGTCCCAGCCGGCGTTCAGAACAGCAACAACAGCAACAAGATACTCGCCCGCATGGCCCTCCACAGCGGCGTCCTCAGCCCCCGCCGCACCCGCGACAGCCGAAAGAAGAAGATGCACACGAGTGGTTATTGGAGCATTTTGCCGAACCCTCCCCCGATGTTCAGTCAAGGCGGAAACCCGAACCACAAATGTCCCCTTCCCCCGTGCCCGTGCCTTTGTATAAGAGTCAAAGCCCAGTTCACACAAACACAAAGCACGTCACTTCGCCCTTGGTTCCGGCTACCATGCCTGAGGCCGCTGTAGCTCTCGAGGCAGAGCTTGCTTCTGTCCGTGTTCCCGCGAGCAAGGTCGAACCCAAGGACGACGAGATGGACGTCGATATGGCTGTATCGGAGCTCGTCGAGGAGACGTTGGAGAGCAGTAAGCGAGCAGAGGGTTTGATGGAGGTGGACGTGGAGGACGAGTTGCTGAGCTTGGTCGACGATCGCCCGCGGTCTCGTTCCATCACCCGTCCACCGAGTGTTAGCCGCGTGCCCTCGGGCGGTAGCAGCAAGCCTGCTCTGCGGCTGCAGAGTGCCACTGAGTCTGGGTCGCGCCATGCCTCCCCGATGCCATCAGCCTCGTCTCCTTCCTCGTTCATGTCACCAGGCGTGCGAGGGTCCTCCATGCTTCCTCCCTCCGAACGCGGGTCGATGCCACCTCCCGCGTCCACCGCTACAGGCCAAGGCAAAAGCAAAGAGTCTGCACCGCGAAAGAAGAAAGAGACGGCCGCCAAGGTACACTTTGTGATGAAATACCGTACCTCAAAACCTAAACTCACATTGTTCGCAGCCTGCTCCGAAGCCCAAAGCGGCTGCCGCCGCCAAACCGCGCGCAAAGCCAGCTCTCAAACCGAAAGGAAAAGTCTCGGAGGCTGTTGCCGGCGCCGGACCTGCTGCCCCAAAAGCTAAAGCACCGTCCGCCATATCTCGGAAAAGCGGCTCGGTGGCAGCATCTGTCTCCCGCTCTCGTTCCACCTCCGTCATGCCCGGTGGTTCTGTCGGTCCAGACGGCTCAGAGAAACCAGAGGATGAGGAGGAGGACGCTCTCGCGGTCGCCGCCGAGGACGACAAACTATATTGTGTTTGCAAGACCAAGTACGATGAGGACCGGTTCATGATTGCTTGCGACAAGTGCGTGTTTTCTGCTTTCTTTGGCGTTCGCAGTCATAGATCCTAATGCACGATGCAGGTGCGATGAGTGGTATCACACTCAATGCGTGGAAATGCCAGATCTCGTTGTCGATCTGGTAGATCAATTTTTTTGCCCGCTTTGTATCGAAAGTACATTTCCTTGCTTGCATTTTACATGTTCCTTTCTCTGAACGCCGTACAGAAAACCCTAATCTTTCGCTCAAGACTACGTACAAACAACGCTGCCGCTACGGCCTCGATCATCCTGAACCCGACTCGCCCAAAGCATGCCATAAACCTGCTCAAGGCGCCTTTTCAAAGTACTGCTCCCCCGAATGCGGGTTAAACAACATCAAGAAGCGCATCGAAACATTTACTAAGAACGGGGGGAAGAAGGAGCTGCTCTGGGACAGCGTGAAGGATGCGCAGAAGCGCGAGGCGGTCGTGATCGTCCACGAGGATGGGGTTCCAGCGAACGAGACTACTGAAAGCTGCATGAAGGAGAACGCAGACGCAGACGCCATCCCTGTCCCGGTTGCGACTGCGCGCGTGAAACCGGCAAGCATGGGCAAGGTGGAGCGGGAGGTCGCAAACTTGAACGCGGTGCTGGATGAGATCGTCACGTTGCGGGAGGACCTGAAGGAGGGGATGGATATCGTTCTCTGGCGGGAGAGACTGCTCGAGCTCGCGAGCGAACGCGCCGAGCAGGTGAGCCAGTGCGGGTGGGACCAGCGCCTGTGCTTTAGTGATGAGGAGTGGGCCGACTTTGGAGCGGGCGTTTTGGAGAGCTATGAAGACGGCGCGAAGGAGGGCGCTATGCAAGTCGATGGTGCGCCGGAGCCCGAGGATTGGTGGTGTGTTGGGAGCGAGAAGTGTGAACGTCACGCTGGGTATGTTCCCTCGTTCAGAACAGGTGTACTCTGCTAACGCTGTAGTTCAGGTGGCAGATGATTCGGGGCAAAGACATTGCCAAGGAAAAGGAGAAGAAGGAGGAAGCTCTGTACAGGCTCACCACCAGGGAACGCGAAATCCGTAAACGCATCGAAGACATTGTCGAGCCGTACAACCGCTCCCGGTGTCTCGATCCTGGGGCGACGCCCCTCAAATCCTCCAAACTCGTCAATGGCAACGCCAAAGGGAAGACGAACGGGGACAGCAAAAAGGGCAAGAAGCGAAAGAACCCATCTTGACCGCTGTATTTTTATTTCATCTTTTTCGCCGCATTCGTTTTGTTCGCTCTCTCCATTGACACAGCTGTCCAATGTATCGCATATCTTGTCTTGTAGCATTGTTCAAAGAAATTAATAAATCGTATCCACCTCTCTAGCCTAGGGCCTAGATTCTTTCAGCATTACAAACATACAAATCGTATCTGACGGATTCTGACCGCGATACTGCAAGGCGTAATGAATCTGCCTATAGTCGTTCCTCGACCAAACCCTTCGCCGCCTTCGGCCAGGGCATCTCCGATATGTATGAGTAGCCCACCACCTGCCGCGTCATCAATACCCATCCCCTTCACCGCCTTCCTTGCAAAATCCTTTCTTCTCGTACAGGATCTGCGCCTTGACTTCTTCTCGTTGTTTTTTCATCTCGACGTCGTTCTTGTGATACGGCTCGAGAGCGGCGTAGTCCACCTGTCTGCGCTGAGGTATCTCGTCCTCTAGATCGAGATCCTGGAGGAATATGAGCTGAGGCCGGATACACAAACGCGTACGGAACGTGCAATTTCGCCCAGCAATACGACGTTTTCCCCGCGAATCAAGAACAGACCGTGCCAGTTCTCTGCGAACGCGTTGCCGTGGTAAATGCGTTCCACGGTGTCCTCGAGTACGAGGTTGGCTGGAGCGTGTGCGTCGGTGAGTCGGAAAGAATAGAAGGCGGAAGGCCTGTACCGAATTGGTCATAGGACCGCAGGACACCGTGCAGTTTTCTTCCGTCTCGCAGGACTACCAGCATCTTCCCTATTCATGGGCGGACAGCAAGGAGGAGTGGTGGGAGTGGTACTCAGGATCAGAAGTGTAGTTGACTTGGCAGACGTACTGTCCACACAATCCACCAGCGACCCCGACGTTGTGAAGGGTATTAACGAGTCCATGGGCCAAAATGGCAAGAAGACGGAGAATTGACCAAATCGGGACATCCTCTTTTGGCTGTGAAAACAAAAAACACCGATAATACAACACGACCGTTCATTGGGCTGCGAATACCAACGAAAATGGATTCAAGTGTTGCCCATATTGGCGTTATTCGGCGACAGAAGGAGACTTGCAATGAGCCTAGTCATGAGCATAAGCCCCTATTTCTACAACCTACTTCGCACGTGCAACATCTCCGCTTTCACGCCTCATGCTCACGCTGCTCATAGTCTCAAGGATTGACCAGCTTCTACGCGGCACTATGGCCGAGTGGTTAAGGCGACAGATTTGAATTCTTCACTATCTGTTGGTATATTACCGCGCAGGTTCGAACCCTGCTGGTGTCGGTAGGATTTTTGTTCCGTCGCCCGCTGAGGCGGAATGCGTCGAGCAGGCCCAGTACGCGACACCTCGTATAGTTTTTACAGTTTTCCAGGCTGAACAACGATAACGTTCCTGAATGGAAAACAGTCCCTTCGCGTCTGCACCCCGGGCGAGTGCGCACAGTATTCAACACGTACCATCTCGACTGAAATAGAACAGGATCATCCTCGACCTGCGCAGCTTGGGATGAGCTACTAGCTTTTCCTCTGTTGCCCGGGCATCGCGGGCGAGTGAGCAAGCCATAGCGGCCGCGGAAGAACTAGTACGTTCAAGCTGACGCGTTTATTCCCAGTTTCGTAGAACCCCAGCTCGCTGCTCAGACCAGTAAATTGCATTGTGTTGAGCGTGTTGTGGGTCACGACAGTACCAGTCCAATGCTTTTGTTCAATTCCAAGTATTGGAGACGGATGGGGGCTGGAGCGCTGGCATCCCGACCTCGCCCAAGTGTAGTTTACATTCGGCACGACTGCTCTAATCGAAGTGCGATGCAACGTTATGAGACATATTCCCACTGTCCAGGTGCTGGCTTCTCCGCGAGCGGCTCCCAGCTGAGCAGAAGAATGAATAACGTGCCGGGCAAGAGATGCGACGCGACTTACGCCTTCCAATCCACCATCTGGGCAGCGAGTTTGAGCTCGTCGACAGCAATGAGCAGCGACTCCTCGATCAAGCCCTCGCCTAGGCCCTTCTCTGCGGCGGCAATGTCTGTATTCGCGGCCTTTACGACGTCTAATTTGTTTTGTATGAGAGCCTCAGTTGCCTGTCGGTACACGGATGTCTCTGGGATACGGGCGAGCTGGGAGAGGGTGTTCTGGTATGTGAGGGTGAGGGCTTGGAGCGGGTCCGGGTGCACCGCGAGACCTGTGAGGCCGGTGGTCGACCTCAGCGCCTGGAGCAGTGGTCGGGTGAGGCGCAACATTTGGAGGATCGGAGTTTGAAATACTTTCCATTTTCAGCCTTTGCTCTTTCCTCGACGATGGCAGCGCTGGCCGTCCATGGCGCACTGCCGCTATTCTCGCGGCCACTGTTGACGCGTCCACTACTGGCGCGCCCGTTATTATCGACGCTATTCTCCACGCCATTCTCGACGCCGTTTATATTCGCAGCCGTCCCAGCCTTCCTCGCGGCATCCCGCACATGGGCATTTCCCTCGCTGCAATCCCTGCTCGAACTCTTTCCGCCATTCGTCCTTGCCGTGCCCAAGAAAAAGGTCTCGCACTCGCGAAAGTCCATGCGCGAAGCAAACAAGGGCCTGAAGGACAAAAAGAGTCTGTTGTGCGCTTTCTATATTACTCTCACCCTGATGCACCGTAGATATTGTTAATTGTCCCGGCTGCGGTGCTCCCAAGTTGGCGCACCATCTCTGCACCCAATGTTATTCGTTCTTGAGCAGAATGTGGAAACAATCGAAGAACGCAAATCCACCATGAAAAATATATATATTCGCTGAAGAAAAAGGTGGTGTTGGGGTACGCGAGTCGCGTCGAGCTGGCCGTAGAGTATGCTCCACTGTATTTTACTAAGTACGATGCTTGGGAAATACTTATTAATGTCCGGCGCGTCCGCCGAGACGTGAGCGGGAAAACCTATATCCGCATTTAAATTCCGGTACTTTGTGGCCCGGCCTCCCACCTTGAGATGTTGGCGAGAGGACTCTGGTTGCGCGCCCCGCTTATGCGCTCAGCTAGCACCCATGCCCCCCGCGGCCTCGCCGCTGTTCTCCAGAAGAATCCCGACGATGTGGTCATCACCTTCGCCCAACGAACCGCCATCGGTCGCGCGAAGAAAGGCCAGTTAAAGGACACCACGGTCGACGAACTGTTGCACGCCTTGTTCAAGGTAATTGGCTCGTATACGCACGCGTAAATCTCCTCCAACCTCGACCAGGCCACTTTGGAGAAAACTAAACTCGACCCATCCAAAATTGAAGACATCTGTGTTGGTATGTCCAGCGCCTAGCGTACTCCAGGTCATCCCTCAGTCTGGGAACAGGGACGTGTCACCCGCCGTCTCCTCTCTATGTCTCCAGAGCAGCGGCATTGGCCGCAGGTATTCCAAACTATGTGCCGATCTCGACAGTAAACCGTCTGTGCTCCTCTGGCTTGATGGCAATTCGCAATATTGCGCACGCCATTCAAGCCGGCGAGACGTCCATCGGGCTCGCAGTTGGTGTCGAGAGTATGTCCAAGCAGTTCAGTCTTTGCTTTTACAACTGCGATCGCGTGTTTATTCGTTGGCTAGTGCACGCCCCACGCCTGAAGTCTGTGAAGCAGTTGACAAGAGCCCGGAAGCGCACGACTGTATTCAGGTTACTGCGCCTCGTTAATCCAAGATGTCGACTGACAATATTTACAGCCGATGGGGTGGACATCTGAGATGGTAGCGGAGACTTACAAGATCTCACGCGAAACGCAGGATAAATATGCACTCATCTCGCACACACGCGCCACTGAAGTACGTCTGCAACCTTCATCGAACTATTGTGATTGACCTGGGGTTCAGTCACAAGCCAAAGGAATTTTCGCCGACGAAATCATCCCCATCGAGCTCAATGGTGCAGTTGTTTCGGTCGACGACACTATTCGACCCGGTGTCACGGCGGAGTCGCTGTCCTCCCTCAAGCCTGTGTTCCCGAACTGGGGCGAAGCCTCTACCACTGCGGGAAACGCAAGCGGTGTCGGTGACGGCGCTGCCATCTGCATTCTGACCACCAGAGAACGAGCTGAGAAAGAAGGGATGGATATTCTGGGCAAATGGGTTGCCAGTTCAGTCGTTGGCAAGATTTTCCTCCCTCGCGTGTGCCCTAATTTCCTGACGAACGTACCAAGGCTGCGAGCCCAAGTACATGGGAATTGCTCCGATATTCGCAATCCCGAAAATTCTTGAACAGGTCGGGTTGAAGAAAGAGGACATTGACGTCTACGAGGTGCGGTGTGTTTCTGTTGCGGGGCAGCGTTGCTTAACTGGCTCCAGATAAATGAAGCGTTCGCGTCACAATTCGCATATTGTGTGGAACAATTGGGCATTCCAATCGAGAAAATCAACCCGAAGTACGTTCCCACTCCCTTCCATGTTTTGACTAACCTTCTCCGCAGTGGTGGCTCCATCGCCATATCACATCCTCTTGGAATGAGTGAGCATTTCTGCGCGAATCTATCTGATTCTCATCCATCCTTGCAGCGGGCGTTCGCCAACTTGTGACTGGTCTGGCTGAATTGAAGAGAACGAACGTGTCATTGTTGTGCACCAGCATGTGCGTCGGAAGCGGAATGGGTGCAGCAGGTATATTTGTGAATGAAGCGCGTAGCACTAGCAGATTGTAAGTAGTACAGAGCATATGTAAAGTAGCGGAATGTGTGAACACCTAGGGGCCCAAATTGAGTCAGTAATGGTTCATACACGCACGAAAACGAAGAAGAAAAGGAAAAATTTCTCAGCAAGTCATTGATGTCAGTGAACCACGCAGGTTGAAACCTGTTGGTCGTGGCTCAAGTCGACTAAGAGGTGCCAATAGTTGTATAGTACAAACTCGTCATTGAAGGGGGGATAGAGGAGAGCAGAAGTAAAGGTAGCGTTCTCACCTGAGCAACAAGAAGGTTGTGGTCGCGGATGAAAAGATGAAAGGGACGCGTCCCTTATATAAGCCTGAAATCACGCTGTCACATCATTGTCACAGTCACATTATCACGGGATCAGCTGCATAGTTCTGGCTCGAAATCATCTTGCTCGCCAACTCATTTCGTCGCGGTTCCGCACCCTCAAGGTATATATTCCAGTCAATCTTGTTTCTGTTCTTTCTCTTACTATCGCGCCAGACTACAAAATGGCCACCCAGATCAGCAAAAAGCGCAAGTTTGTCGCCGACGGTGTTTTCCGCGCCGAACTCAATGAATTTTTCACTCGCGAGCTCGCTGAGGAAGGTTACTCTGGCTGCGACGTCCGTGTCACCCACGCCCGCACTGAGGTACATGCCGTCTCGTGTCGTGTGTTTTTCTGTCCTCAACAGCGCGCACTAGATCATCATCCGTGCAACCCACACCCAAGAAGTCCTGGGCGAGAAGGGGCGCCGTATCCGCGAGCTCACTGCTCTCGTCCAAAAACGTTTCAAGTTCCCCGAGAACTCTCTCGAGCTCTACGCCGAGAAGGTTCAGTACCGTGGTCTCTCTGCTATCGCCCAGTGCGAGAGCTTGAGATACAAGCTGCTCGGTGGTCTCGCCGTCCGCCGGTTTGTTGTCCCCTTGTTTCCCTAGTGGCGGCCCCTCCCTTAATTACCATCTGCAGTGCATGTTATGGTGTCCTCCGTTTCGTCATGGAGTCTGGCGCCAAAGGTTGTGAGGTCGTCGTCTCTGGCAAGCTCCGTGCCGCGCGTGCTAAATCCATGAAATTCACCGACGGCTTCATGATCCACTCCGGTCAGCCCGCCGTCGACTTTGTTGACTTTGCTGTCCGCCACGTTCTGCTGCGACAGGGTGTGCTCGGTATCAAGGTCAAAATGTGAGTTGACTCGCTCGTCCGCGTAATCGGGCCCGGTGACTCACACCCGTGTCATCTAGCATGAAGGGTACCGACCCCGAGGGCCAGACTGGTCCCCGCAAGCCGCTGCCGGACTCTGTCACCATCCTCGAGCCCCCGGTCGACAAAACCGTCTCCGAGCCCACGTCGGAGCAGCGGGAGCCCATCGCCGTTGCACCTCCGCCTGTTGAGGAGACTTACGCTGCTGCTCCTCCCCAAGAGTACCAGCAGCCGGAGGCGTACATGGAGCAACCCGTATTCTGATAATGTATGATGCATGCTTGTCTTTCCATCTACGAGAACAAAGGTTTTCTGGTGCATGTGTTTCACTGCTCAAACAGTTCTTGAGTTTCTTGTACGTGTCCTCCCATCGAAGTTCCCTTTTTTGTGGGGCTCGGACTCGAGATTCAATTTACAATGTCGTCACTGCATTTACTCTCTGCGGAGATTG